AAGATATAACATGCAAGGTGTTTAGCATTGTTTTGTATTAAATGTTGTAGAAAGGAGTTGACAGTTTGAGGCTCTCTTAGTAGGGGAAGTTTGTAATAAGTAAGAAATTTGTTGTAGCATATTTTCAAGTCATAGAAGTCTATTGATATTGGTAATGACTTGAGTAGATATTCTTTTAAAAGGTCGCTCGCCGTTTTAAGCTCGGTTCTCACAGCTGCGAAGAATTCTATAGTCTGCCATGTACGTTTGGTCTGACCGTCATTATCTTGGTCTTTTGCATATCGTTGCTGTATTTTTAAAATACGTAATAACATATTTCAACTAATAGTTTGTTAAATTAATTAGACTGGATCAACTTAATGTTGACTCGAGTTTGATTAAGTTGACTGAGTTTGCATTATATGTTTTAATATACTTAATTTTATCTATTTTTATCTTTATAAATAGTTTATAAATCTTTCTAGCTTTAATATATCTTTTATATAAAGGTTTGCTTAATAATTAATTGCAGATCCGTCTATAAGTGATAGATTTACTATAGCGCAAAATTTATAATAAGAAATACAAGTGCATACATATTTATATCAAAAAATATTTATTTTATTTATAACGATTATCTAATTTGCACTTGCTACATGTAACTTGAATCTCAACTATGCTGCCTATATTCATAAATCGTTTATTACTTTACGGTTTGAAAAGTTTTATATGAAGGAAAAGAAGATTTCATAATAGTTTTCCTGTTTAGTTATATTCTAATTGCATTTTTTGATATTTGCTAATCCTATCACTCTCATTATATGTCGAAGTATGAATATTGCTATTGTTACTTTCAGTTAGTGCTCTTTCTAATGCTTCTTTTTTGAAGCTCACACTATATCTTTCGATCCAACCTTTAATAGTTTTTACTGTTGGTACTTCCTTGAAAGCAAGTTCTCCATTCTTAGCCAAATCTTTTAGACTAGCATGTATATCTTTAGGAGAGTAACGATCTTCAGTTTTTAAGTTTCCAGCCAAAAAAAAACCTTGCAAATATTGTAATACTTTCTTTGTCATATGTTTTCCCGCACCCTTATTGCCAAGTTTCATATTCTCTTTTAAGGCCTATCCCGCATTAAAAGGAAACTCCTGATCAATACTATAAAGTGATTGGTTTAATATGCGGAAATTACTATATGATATAATTAACATAATTACCTTTTATCTTTTAGGTGAATATATATATAAAAAAAGGAAAATTATTAAACATAGCAAAAGGGTTGTATATATGTATGTATGTATTAACTGTTATCTTTTATCATTATGGCATCTGACATTTCAGTACTAACTAAATAATGGTCAATTTTGCAGGCACATTAGCTAGTGTAAACCGAGTTAATATATCTATAATATATATAATTACCTGATTTATTGGTCAGTAGTTCTGTGTTGTTCATTCAATAAGAAAAATTATTTGATGATCAAGGTAATGAAGTAAATACTATTACCTGTTTTTCTGGGAGTTAGCATTTTCCATGTGGTCTCTGGTATAGATGGTTTAGAAAATGTTGGTGATGGTCTTCTACTAAAGGGAGCAACCTGCACAGGTTGGAAGTCAGTCCACACTCCAATATGAGGAAGAGAACGGGCACAAATGTATCCTGCAAATTGACCTGTTATAGGCCAGGACCACTCAAAGAATTTAGAGATGCCAGGTATGGTCTTGATTTTTTTTTTGTTGGTTTCTGATCTATTATTTATAAAAATATATAGAATGTATATTATTAAAAATAAAGATTATACCCAGATGTGGATTAATTATCTGGCATCTGTAAGATTTTAAAATTAGATATCTGAATGAATCTAGGTCATATGCTTTATACTATATCTAAATATCACATTTTTGTATTTCATATATTGTTTAATGTTATCGAAATAAGCAAAAAAAAAAAGGCTCTAGCAAGGATATGAGGTCAAAAGAACAACACTAGCACTATCATATTACTAAGAGTGCTTTCAAACACCTAAATTCATAGGTCGGAGTCTAATATTTAATTAGTAGAAAATAGTTTAGCCAGCCAAGTGAGCCCATTATAGCGATAAAAAAAAAAGATGGTCAGTGACCATCTTTTTTTATCAGAGTTGTGCAGATTGGCTAAAATTTTAATATCCGCATTTCACAATATGAATCTTCAGCAAAATTACAGTAAGGATTCCTTAAATTAATCGTAGCACTTGTACACGATCTTGATTATTAGCCAATTACATAGAGA